AATGATCCTTGTCACAAGTGTAGAAACACCAGATACTTTTGATGACTGATGATGAATAAAAATCGCCATGTAGCCCTAGAAGACAAACAAAGAGATCTTTTCCCATAATTTGCAATAATGTGAAAACTGACTTAAAAGGGTTTCTTTTAAATATTGTCACTGGTGTGATATAAATACATATGGTGTTTCATGGCACAGTCAAAATGTGGAAGGGTGTTGTAGAGAATTCTCATTTTCTGAAATGCATCCTGCAGAGTTCTCACTGATGTGACAAAGGAGAATTGCTAGTATCTTCTTACTCAGAGACTGTGGTTGGATTCTCTGTGCCACTGATCTCCTTGTGCCATCCATACTCTTGTGGTTGGGTAAATCTCAAAAGGAGAGACAGAGGCAGAAGCTGATAATCTGCTTGGTCACATGTATTTTTCTCATATAGCCCAACATTGTAATATGGAATTACATAACAAACAATGATGTTTAGATACTCACTTCTTTAGCCCAGACAAAGTGTAGGTCAGCCAAAACCGTGGATAATCTCATTTAGTTTTTTTCAGCGTGCCTAACCCATAGTGTCACAGATTACTGTGTCATTCTGTGCAAAAAAGTATGGGGCCAGTACTGTAGCATAGCAGGTAAAGCCACTGCCTGCAGTGCCGGCATCCCATACAGGCACTAGTTCAAGATGGCTGCTCCACTTCCCATCAAGCTCTCTGCTACAGCCTGGGAAAGCAGTAGAAGATGGCCCAAGTCCTTGGGCCTGTACACCTACGTGGGAGACCCAGAAGCAGCTCCTGGCTCCTGGCTTCGGGTCAGCACAGCTCCGGCCATTGTGGCCAATTGGAGAGTGAACCAGTGAATGGAAGATCTCTCTCTTTCTCTGCCTCTCCTTCTCTGTTGGTGTAACTCTTAAAAATAAATAAAAATAAATCTTAGAAAGAAAAAGAAAAGAAAAAAGGTGTGATACCCACAACTACTCACTAAGAGGGAGTCTGGAATATACATAATTCAGAAAGGATGAATCTCAGTATCCATTTGCAGGTAGCATGAAATGTTACAAAGAATATAGAATTCATAGCCACTTAAATCAGGCTTACAGGAAGATTCTTCCAGGTAAGGGAAGCTGGATTCACATAATCTATCTGCAAATTGGAGATAGCAACCACTTCCTTGGAAACTTATGATGGATTTAAAAGCTAATTACTTTTCTCAGTACCTGTACATAGTAAATGCCCTGGCACCCATGCTCACAGAGCACAGCTGTACATAAGCTCTGTTTCCTCACTTATGAGCTGAAAGTCACTTCAAGTGTGATAAAGACCCTTTGGATCCCCTCACATATATAAATATGTAAGCACACACACACACACACAAAGGCATGTCAACAAATTAATGGAAAAACAGAATTAAAAAATAAATTTATTCTGGCACAAAATATTTAAAACCATGTGTACTATTTACAAACTAATAATAATTTATTTGTAAAATAATATATTTGTAAAATAAAAATCTCAACTCATGGTCTTCGTAAGGACTTACTATATTTATATCCATTCATTGGACAAAAAGTATATCTGATACTTAAATGTGGTAAGCACTGTTCTGGGAACTTCAGGTCTAACAGCATATAGAACAAATCTAATCCAAGCATTTTCTTCATAGGGGCTATGGAAAACAAAAAAGTAAGCAAAAAAATCAATGTGTAATTAATCAGGTAATGATAACTTCTATGAAAAAACACATACATGAATAGATGATGCCTACAGAGTAAGGAAGCATATTATTTTCAGTAAGATTGCCATGGAAGATTCCTGACTGACACACTGACATAAAGCACAAAGTGAAAGGACACATGGATTTATGCATATATATTCATGATAAGTACATTTTATGTGTGAGATGCCACATGTGCCCTAAGAGCAAGCATATTTCAAATATTTGAGTTGTGCTCTAGGAAGAATAATGTGGCTACCAAGCTGGAGAACAGTGAATGCGAGAAAGAGAGCATATTGAAGCAGGGAAAAGAGACATTTGAGAACAAATATATTAGGACCTTGTACATCATATTAAGGGATTTGGAAGTTACTTTCAGTGTGGATAGGAGGCTGCTGGCTTTGAGCACAAAAGAGACATTGTGTGACTTATGTTTACTTCTGCTATGTAGAAAAAAAAAAATAGTGAAAGATCGCAGAGAAAATAGAGATACCAATTTAGCGACATTCGCAGTAATCTAGGTGGTGGTAGAGTGAACTAGAGTTATAGCAGCTGAGGTGAAAAGAAGTGCTAAATCCAGGATGTATTTAATGACAGAGTATGCAGAACTTATGGACTGATTGTATGTGTGGTGTAAGAGAAATAGAGGAATCACGTTTATGCCAATATTTTTTGTTTGGGCAACTGGCAGAATAAGTGTCCATTATTAGCTAGAGAAAACTAGCAGTTATGTGGAGGAGAGCCAAGAGTTTGGTTATGTTGAAATGAGAATTAGATTTTTTTTTTAACTTTATTTAATGAATATAAATTTCCAAAGTACAACTTATGGATTACAATGGCTTCCCCCCCATACCATCCCTCCCACCCACAACCCTCCCCTTTCCCACTCCCTCTCCCCTTCCATTCACATCGATTCATTTTCGATTATCTTAATATACAGAAGATCAGCTTAGTATACATTAAGTAAGGATTTCAACAGTTTGCTCCCACACAGAAACATAAAGTGAAAAATAATAGATGATTTTTTTAATGATGATGAAATCAGATCAGACCTATTGTCATGTTTAATCCCAGTGAGAGTCAAGTTGGGAATTGATAATTTCTTTTTTTTTTTTTTTTACAGAGGATCAATTTAGTATGCATTAAGTAAAGATTTCAACAGTTTGTACCCCCATAGAAACACAAAGTGAAATATATTGTTTGAGTACTCGTTATAGCATTAAATCTCAATGCACAGCACATTAAGGACAGAGATCCTACATGAGGAGTAAGTGCACAGTGACTCCTGTTGTTGACTTTACAAATTGACACTCCTGTCTATGGCATCAGTAATCTCCCTATGCTCCAGTCATGAGTTTCCAAGGCTATGGAAGCCCTCTGAGTTCTCCGACTCTTATATTGTTTAGACAAGGTCATAGTCAAAGTGGAGGTTCTCTCCTCCCTTCAGAGAAAGGTACCTCCTTCTTTGAAGACCTGTTCTTTCCACTGGGATCTCACTCACAGAGATCTTTTGCCAGAGTGTCTTGGCTTTCCATGCCTGAAATAGTCTCATGGGCTTTTCAGCCAGATCCGAATGCCTTTAGAGCTGATTCTGAGGCCAGAGTGCTATTTAGGACATCTGCCATTCTATGAGTCTGCTGAGTATCTCACTTCCCATGTTGGATCGCTCTCCCCTTTATTTATTCTATCAGTTAGTGTTAGCAGGTACTAGACTTGTTTATGTGCTCCCTTTGACTCTAGAATTAGATTTTTTTTAAAGATTTATTTTATTTATTTGAAACACAGAGATAGAGAAGTAGAGACAGAGAGAGAGGTCTTCCATCCATGGTTCACTCCCCAACTGGCCACAACAGCTGGAGCTGCGCCAATCCGAAGCCAGGATCCAGGAGCTTCCTCCGGGACCCCACGTGGGTGCAGGGGCCAAGGACTTGGGCCATCTTCTACTGCTTTCCCAGGCCATAGCAGAGAACTGGATCAGAAGAGGAGCAGCTGGGACTAGATCCAGTGCCCGTATTGGATGCCAGCGCTTCAGGCCAGGGCTTTAACCTGCTGCGCTTCCGAATTAGAATTTTAAGTCATTTTGGACATATAGTCTAGAATTTAGGTCGGCTATGCCAAAGCTATGGACCCAGATAAATTTGAAAATACGTTCTTTTCATCTTATTCGAACTATTTTTGTCTTCTCAATCTGTCTCAAAGAGGTAAGAACTACTGACTTCTTTGAGTGGCAGGAAACCAAGGAAATTTACTTTGATAATAGTAAGAATGAACAGAGGAAATTGTGGTCACTCTTACCCTGGAAATGTAAGAACATCAGAAGCTTGGCTCCTGGAAGATCGTTGTGAATATTCCCGTGTCATTATGGGATCTGGCCGATTTCTTACAATGTTCCTTCTAACTCTGGGTAGTGCACTGAATGGTGGTCATCCAAGGTCTCAGGTTCCATTTCTCGGAATCTGTGATTGTGACTTAATCCGGTAAAGATATGACAAAGCTCAGGCTCTTGAAATAAGGAGATTATCCTGGGTGGTTTATGTTGTTCTTTTTTTTTTTTTTTAAAGATAGATTTATTTATTTGAAACGAAAATTACAGAGAGGAGACACACACACGATCTTCTATCCACTGGTTCACTCCTGAAATGGTCCCAAAGGCTAGGTTGGGTCAGGCCGAAGTTTGAGCCAAGAGATTCATCCAAATTTCCCACATGGATAGTGTGGCTCTGAGGACTTGAGCCATCTTCCACTGCTTTCCCTAGAGCATTAGCAGAGAACTGGATTAGCAGTGGAGCATCCGGACACAAACCAGGGCCCATATGGGATGGTGGCATTGCAGGTGGTGACTTAATCCCTGAGCCACAATGCTGGTCCCTTCATGTTGATTTTTTTTATTATTATTTTTTGGCAGGCAGAGTGGACAGTGAGAGAGAGAGACAGAGAGAAAGGTCTTCCTTTGCCATTGGTTCACCCTCCAGTGGCCGCCGTGGCCGGTGCACTGCAGCCGGCGCACCGCGCTGATCCGATGGCAGAAGCTAGGTACTTATCCTGGTCTCCCATGGGGTGCAGGGCCCAAGCACTTGGGCCATCCTCCACTGCACTCCCTAGCCACAGCAGAGAGCTGGCCTGGAAGAGGGGCAACCGAGACAGAATCCGGCGCCTTGACCGGGACTAGAACCCGGTGTGCCAGCGCCGCAAGGCGGAGGATTAGCCTAATGAGCCAAGGCGCCGACCATCTTCATGTTAATTTTAAGCACTATCTAGTCACCCCTTTGAGAAGATGCTGAAGGATACACATGCACATGGAAGAGAAGGGACATGAATGTACACATAAGCCAGGGAATGCCAACTGCCACCAGAACCTGGATGGAGCAAGGAATGAATTCTCCCAGAAACTCCTGAAGGAAGTACAGCCCAGCCACCACCTTGATTTTCGATGTGTGGCCTCCATAACTGTAAGAGAATACATTTTTTAAGCTATCTAGTTGTTGGCAACTCATTATAGCAGCCATTGGAAATTAATACAGTCTGCTTCCAGAATTTCAAAAGACAAACTTAGGCATGGATTATCTAACTAAAGGTGAAGTGACAGCAATCAGTTCTCATTTACTCTTTCGTATTTTCTGTATTTTCTCATAAATATTATCTTAATTAAAAATATCTCTTAGTCCAATTGCTGGTAGATGTTACAAAGGGAAGAAACTAAACAGGGTGAAAAGCCCAAGGAGTTGGTAATTATGTAATCAAGGAGATTGCAGGAGGTGGTTAAAACCACATTGCTTTCTCAATTTACTCTCAAAATATGTAGTGTCTGTGGGAAGGAAATTCTCCTTAGGCAAATATTAATCAGACTCCTACAACTTTTTAAGTAAGTCAATCAACGTTCTAAAACTGTAGAATTTTAAGCTAAAATTCTAAGCTAAAATATCTCAAGAGGAAGCTGCAAAGATAGGGCAGGTGCACATGTTTCAATAATGTATTAATTTATTCATTCTTGCAACAAATATTAAGCGTCTTAGAATATGGAAGACATAGGTTGACACCAAAATATAACTATAGAAAGTGAAAAAGTGATGAACTATATAAAAGAATGTGTCTTCCTTCATTATGCTTACTTGTGGAGGAAAGGTAAAATATGCATAAAAACATAAGATGATTTCAATAAGTGACAGAGATAATAAAACAAGCTATGGGGCACAAGACATTTGGTGTAATGGAAGAAGTGGTTGGGTGGTGGGACAGATATTTAATTAGGGATTAGGATAATTAGAAAAATTTGGTCACAGGTTAATCAAATGATAAAATGTTCTAGGCAATAGGAGCAACAAATGTATAATCTCAAACCAGCAGGAGGCATTGAATGATTTTTATATAGTCAACTGTAGATATCTCAGTGATGGTTTTCAGCCACAGGAGAAGAGAAGTGACGAGTAAGCCAGGTCAAACATCAGGTTGGCTAAGACTCTGAAGACAGTGTGAAAGAAGGAATTTCTCTATTCTCTCAGAATCTATTTCTTCAATTATTTCCAGTCCATCCCTGGAGTGTATAGAAAATTTTTAAATCTTGACTTTTTCACAAAATCCATTGTTGGCTCAGTGCATAAGAAAAAATCTGGTCAAATGGATTCAAGCAACAGTGGAAATTAAATTTTGCCAGTAAGTTTCATTTTGTTTACTGTCTGGGTATTTTAAGTTTTGTGTTTTATACTCTGCTAGACAGCACTCATAATCTTCTAAATGCTGTGTATGTGCTTTCAAATATACTTTAATTTCATATTACAACTGTTTTCACTTATTGAAAAACAAGAAAACATTTGGACATGCAATGCCTGTGGTGTCATATTTGAGACCAGATCCAAATAAATATTCACTAAGCTTTTTAAAATCCATAAAGATGCTATCAAAAAGCTATTACATTTTTATAGCTCATATTCAAAGTTAACAAATGAGCAGTTTGGAAAGAGGAATCTCTCTTGAAAATGGAAAATAATAGCATAGAAATTAGAAGGCCTGGTTGGTTTTGTCCCTAACTAATTGTATAGCCTTGAAAAATAGCACTGGACTTCTCTGATTCTCCATTTCCTCATTTCTGAAAGGAAAATAATGAACTAACACCTCTAAAGTTCTTTCTACTTCTAAAATTTCATGAAAATATTATTGTTTCCTACAAACTCAGTGCTATCCTTTCTCTTTTTCTTATGCATATTCTGTACCTTGCCTATTCGTGCTGTTTTTCTATTTTTCATTACAAAGGGCTATTACACTTTGAATGGCTTCTTTGGAATGAATAAATAAAGTCAACTCAAATCATAAGGTTAGCATCCTTAAAATGTTCTTCTCTACAATAAATTGAATGTATGCTTTTTATGCACTAGACACATTTCCCTCCTCAGATTTAGAAATCCTTTTCTGTTTTGTGGTCTCTTACACATTTGAAAAACCACTTATTCAAAGTAAAACTGTTCTGGCTTGTCTCTTATTTTCAACAATATGCAGTTCGTCTAGAAGGCTTTGATTTCATTTGCAGAGATTTCCAGATCTATTTAGCAAAACTCAATAATGGGTTCTCCTTGAAGAATATTTAGATTAAAGATGTGTAGACCAATGTCTCTCATAAAGATACACTTCTCTCAGATAATTTCCTGCAGGGGGATAATAGCATAATTCTCTTGGAAAAATATTCTATACTTTAATATGATTTTGCTCTTTCTCATCATGTGGTAAAGACAAGCAGCTAATTGGTATGCACATCAAATAATAGTGGTATAATTATGAACTCTGAATGAAAATCTATAGAGTCCTATTTCATTAGATTTTCATTTGTGAATTTGGGTGGGTCTGTCACATTTTAAAGTATTGGTTTATTTACCTTGGAGGCAAGATAAACTTTCTATGAATTTAAAATTAAGTAAGAGATTCTTAAAAAAATAGTAATACCTAGTATTTTTTGGTTTCTTCCCATAAAACAGCCAATGACCAAATATGTTATGTATACCATTTCATTCAGTTTTCATAATAGTAATGTATAAGTATCCCCTTCTTAAAGATGAAAAATCTGGTTTAAATATCAAGATCAGCCCATAAAATCACTTAATGAGTGAAAGGAAGAGCCGGCATTCTTAGTCTTAAATCACATGGCTGTTGGACTGTAAAATCCATGTTTTAACATCTCTCTACTACAACTATACTGATTTAATCATCATAGGGTAGAAGCAACACACAAATGTACAAGAATTTGCTTTAAAATCTATTATCAGTTCATCAGATATTAAAGATGGAAATGATGAAGATGAAGATGGTGATGATGTTGAGAGTATCAACTTCAGAATTAATCTTATAGGGGAAAAATGGTTAAACTTACAGAATTTGGTTATCTCAATTTATAGCAACATTTGCTGCCCCCATGTGGTGCTATATGACCATTCTGTCTTCAGGATTCATCTCTTCACTAAGATTCCGGTCTTATAACCTGTGCTCCGTAATTTTTTTTACTTGATCTGAAAGGGAAATAGATAATGAGGAATTATTATGCTCAGATGAGGCTTAATACTTGAGTATGTGTTGATGTAGGTATCTGGGCATGTTTGCTGCAAAAAAAAAAAAAAAGAAATTACTAAAAAGATAGCAATGAGGATCTTACAGAGAAGTCATGCAACAAATTCCATTGTGAAACTCTACAAGGCATCAGTATCAGGAATTGTTCTATCTCTTTCAGACACCAATATCAGCAAATATTTTAATCACTAATTCTTACTGATTCTTACCAGCCTCATTCAGGTTAAATCAGAGTCCTGAAAGGCAGGATCTAATTGCTAAGATCATGGTTATAGCCAATACTTTGAAAGTACTACTGGAAAAAGACCCTTCAAGGCAGAGGATGTCTCCAGGATATCTCTTTATTTTGATACTAACATAAAACATCTTGACTTACTCAAAAGTAAATAAAGATAAAAATTCCCTAAAGTTTTTAACTGATTTCAGAAAGGAAAATTTAATGTTGGGCAATCAAACCCTCAAATGTCTTTAAAACTATTACGTCTCTAGCTACTCTGTTTTATTTCTAAAATAACAGTTGGAACATAATCATTTGATATGAGACTCTACTAATATGATAACAAAAATTATGGAAGTCACTGACTTGTCAACAATCTCACAGCAGAATTTTTGAACCTACAGTCTCTAAAACCTAGGCAATCAATGGATGGAATTGTGGGGTTGTTTAATCCACAAAAATTATATGACAATGTTTGAATATAGGTTTGCCTGTGATATGTTTTCTGAATGGAGTTTAGCTATTTTATTTTTATTTTATTTTGTCACATAGAGTTGATAAGGCTAAATCCATTCAAGTGCTCATATCTTATGACTCAAAACTTTTTTTTAAAGATTTATTTATTTATAATGAAAGACAGAGTTACAGAGAGAGGCAGAGACAGAGAGAGGCAGAGACAGAGAGAGAAGTCTTCCATCTGCTGGTTCACTCCCCAGATGGCTGCAACGGCCGGAGCTGTGCCAATCCGAAGCCAGGAGCCAGGAGCTTCTTCCAGGTCTCCCATGTGGGTGCAGGGGCCCAAGGACTTGGGCCATATTCTACTGCTTTCTCAGGCCACAACAGAGAGCTGGATCAGAAGAGGAGCAGCTGGGACTAGAACAGGCACCCATATGGGATGCTGGCACTTCAGTCCAGGGCTTCAACCAGCTGCGCCACAGCGCCGGCCCCAACTCAAAACTTTTATAACCAGAAATCAACCAGAGAAACTATCCCATTCTCAAGGATTATATGTACTACAATGCTAAATTAGAATTGATCAAGAAAAATGGTGATGGGAAGAGAGGAAGTTCTTTCAGACTGGGATCTGAGAATCATGGAGACAAATGAAACTAGGAGACATCCCACTGAGGAGAATCAGAGTGCAATCATTTCATACCCCAAAGATAGCCAGACCCAGAAACTTTTATCCAGTAAGATTTAAAAAATCATGATACAATGATTGTTGCAATCCCCTTTTCATCACTATTTTAAGAGACTGCTCTGTTCCTGAGTTAGGTGCTTATGGCATAGATGTGTCTTTTATTCAAAGGTTTCAAACATGTGGAGAATAATACTGGTCTTATATAAAATATATAATTCTAGTCTTTGAGCCTAATACGAGGATCAGATTAGACCTGGAGTGTCTTAAGTATTAAGTGCATTATAAGTGTGGCAGTAATATAAACATTATAGTGCTATATTTCATTATTATCCCCAATGTATGTCTGCATTCATTTGCCTGTTGCCTGTTTCACAACTCTTTCCACTAAACATTTGGCATTTATTGATATTGGGGCTTGACTATGAGATTTGATTTGTCCAATAAAATATGGGCATACATGACAGTATGCTAGTTTTCAACCAAAGCCTGAAGAGACAATGTATACTTCCACTCACCCCTCTTGCAGGTTTTCCCATATTATGTGCTAGTCCATTGACCCAACAATGACTAGTAAAATATGTACAACAGAACTGTTTTCAACTAGCTAACCTTCAGCAATTGGAAACTCAAGACTTCTTCTGTGAATGTAAACTTGTTTAAACACTTTTCAGTGGCAGTATCTAGTAAAACTCATCATATGTATATCTAGCACTTCTATTTCTTTGTCTAGATTCCAAAGATATGTGTATGTGCAGATGTATCTATGTATATATTTATATATACACAAATGCATGCGAGATCACTGATGAATCTCACAAGCACAATGTAGAAATAAAGGTTCATATAAGAAAAGTAAGGGTATATTTATGATTTCAAAAAGCTCAAAAAAGACAAAGGTAATACAAGGTAATAAAAATCAATCAGGGTAATGGTTACCCTTGGGATGAAGTGACAGTGGGAAGAAATAAGAAGATAATCTTACTGAGTTTCTACTGCACTGTTTGTTAACATAGGTTCTGATTACTAGGTATGTTCACTTTGTGAAAATTCGCCAAGTTACAGACTCGTAAGTTGTAGTTTTCTGTATGCATACCATTCATAAACACAATTCACATTAGAAGTACTGTAGGAATTAAGAAGACCTTTTATTTTTAAAGTACTTCCCCGGCCGGCGCTGCAGCTCACTAAGCTAATCCTGCGCCTGCAGCGCCGGCACACTGGGTTCTGGTCCCGGTTGGGGTGCTGGATTCTGTCCCGGTTGCTTCTCTTCCAGTCCAGCTCTCTTCTGTGGCCCAGGAGTGCAGTGGAGGATGGCCCAGGTCTTTGGGCCCTGCACCCGCATGGGAGACCAGGAGGAAGCACCTGGCTCCTGGCCGGATCGGCACATTTGGGAGGTGGACACAGAGAGAGAGAGAGCGAGATAGGCAGAAAGGGAAAGAGAGAGAGCTCCCATCAACTTAGACCATCCCAAATGCTAGCAAAGGCCAGGGCTCTGCTAGATGGAAGGCTAGAGCCTAGAATTCAATCCCACATGGGTACCAGGAACCCAACTACTTGAGCCATCAGCACCACCTCCCAAAATCTGCATCGGCAGGAAGCTGGAATCAGCAGCTAGAGCCACAAATTCAGCTCAGGTACTCTCATGTGGGTTAGGAATGTCTTACCAAGCAACCACTAGGCTAAATGCACTCCTTCCCCCGGATGTGTCTTGATTGTGTCTCTGGAAGGTTCAGTGCTGGAAACTTGGTTCTCAGTATTGTAGTGTATAGGTGGTGGCACCTTTAAAAGAGGTACCTAATAGAAATTGATTAGGTCATGATTAAGGTAGCCTTCAACTGTCAACTAAATATGCCTTTCTGTGTGTATTACCTGGCTTTAAGTATTTTGGTATACCATCAGTAAACAGACTAATTCAATATCAGAAAAAATTGCTTGATTTATTTTTGGACTTTATGCTTTCTCATTTAGACAATGTGGTTACTTTTCAGCTTTTAAACCCGATTTGAACTTTGCTGAAGAAAGTTGCCTATTCCTTTGTGTGGGAAGAGCTAGAGTAAAGTGGTCAGAATAATGCATACCAGTTAAAGTCTTACATAATTTCTAGCCAAGAAATGGTTTGGTTCATGAAAGATATTTGTTGTGATAGCTCTTTTGGTAACACTTCTAAAACCACACTATGCAAGTATCTGGTCATCTCCATCTCTTCATAGAAACAAAATACATTTTTGTAGTTTCTTAGAAAATAAAAACAAGAAATGAAGTTTCTCTTTATGTGTGCAGTGTCAGATACTATTTTGCAATGGAAAGACTCAGAGCTTCCATTTGAAGCAACAAGCAAACCCCTCAGTCTGCTGTTGCTCTCCTAAGAGTAGAATTTACTCTACCATGGAATTTATATACTCTATCAGAAATCTCTGTGGATTTTACCCACAACAACCAAATTCCAGTTCTATTTCACTGATGCAGTGTCCTTTGGAAAGCATTTTACAAAAAAAAAAACAAAAACAAAACAAAACAAACAAACAAACAAAAGGAACCTGTGCCTTATTCCCTCAATAAATGAAACAAAGTAAATGAAAACTTAAAGAAAGATTGATAGCATCTCTTGATTTATGGTGTAAGATTGGCTGATAAATTCTATTGAATACATAGAAGCTCATTTATGTATTTCTTGCTGGACAGGTTCAGTATATGCACTGCCCATATTTTTTTTTTTTAAATCACAGAAGCACAGAATGAAAGTCTAAAGGAACATACAGGCTATCTAATCCAACATCATTATTTTATAAATGATGAAAGTCAACAGTGGGATTTTTAAATTATACCAGATTACTCTCCTAATGATTAGTATTCCAGGATGTGAATTCAGATATTTTAAATTATTACAATGTCAGGATATTTAAAAAATATTTTTAATTTAGTACTGAGTGTCCTTGGACTCTTGCATTAAAAATTCAAAGCTTTAATTTCTTTCATTCATTATTTGTGTCTACCACTATATGTGTAAATGATTACCTAATCTATGTGTGGTTACATTGGTTTTGTTGGCAAGCACTTTGCTTTAGACTTGACATGACAATGTTTATAGAAAATAAAAATAAAATATTGGTGTTTATAAATACCCATACATATATGCAAATAAATACCACATTAAATTATATGGAACAGGTGAGGTATATATTTAGTCACATTAATACTTGGTTAATTAGAAATGTTCATATTAAAACCCACACCTGGTGAAATAAATATAATTTCTGGTGCTCTCTCAAGGGATTTTCAGGCCACTGAAAAGCAATAAAAGTTTTAAAGTTAAAATATGCTTCCTGAAATTAGAATACTTTTCTAATGTTCAGGAGCAAGCCAGGGTAATTGATAGAATGGTGACAGATATCTAAAATTTTCAAAAGATTCAATGCATGATGAATATTCATCCAATGCCCAAAAGAATGATAACAGGAAAGAGTGTTTTAGAGGGAAGTGTTGAGGGCTTGCATGGAATATAATGTGTTTGCTTTTCTGATTTTGCTATGTCTGCTATGGATGCAAGCAGACTCCATGCTAGAGCATGCTGGAGAGGATGAAAGCTATAAGGAGTTGCTTCTCAATCAGAAGTTTATTCAAGTAAATGCATGAGCATCGTTTTTAAAGACTGATCTTTTATTTGAAAGTCAGAGTTACAGAGAGAGGGATAGATGGAGAAATCGCCTATTGACTAGTTCACTCCCCAGATGACAGCAACCACCAGAGCTGGGCCAGGCTGAAGCCAGGAGCCTAGAACTTCATATAGGTTTCCCATGTGGGTGACAGGGGCCCAAGCTCTCGAGTCATCTTCTGCTGGTTTCCCAGGCACATTAGCGGTGAGCTGGATTGCAAGCAGAGCATATTGGGCTCTAACCGGTGTGTGATGAGCCACAATGCTGGCCCCGTGCCTCACCTCTAGAGACCGTGAATGAAAGCCAGAAACAAGACAACCAACAACATTACTCAGGGCAGAAGAAAGTCTGTCATGAATCGAGTATGGCAGTGGAGTACATAGCATGTGAAAGAAGAGAAGGGCGGGCGACACGGCGGTGGCCGTGGTGGGCTGCGTGCTGCGGCGGTTCCAGCAGATGGTTCCTTTATCAGCTTCAGGGCAAATTCGAGGTTACTACCTAGACTGGAAAACGTCGCGTGATTTGAAGAGAGGAAAACTGGCCTATGAGTATGCAGATGAGAGGCTACGGATCAATTCGCTGAGGAAGAATACCATTTTACCAAAAGATCTTCAGGAAGTGGCTGATGAAGAAATTGCTGCCCTTCCCTGGGATAGCTGTCCTGTTAGAATCAGAAACCGGTGTGCTATGACGTCCCGGCCACGTGGTGTGAAGCGGCGCTGCAGGCTTAGTCATATCGTCTTCTGTCACTTAGCTGACCACGGGCAGCTTTCTGGGGTGCAGCGAGCAATGTGGTAAATCAGCTGCAGGAGCTGCTGAGGGTGCAGGGACTCCAGCTCTGGAAAAGAGAGACTGTTCTAATAGTCAAAGCCATGGCTTTGTAGAGGTCCAGTGTAGCTGTCTGGCGTACCTGATGCTGTCCGTGAATTCCTGTGAAGTGTTAAATGAAGAAATGCGGATGTTACATCAGTGGGCTTAACAGATTAAATATACTGTTCCCATACGTGGTACAAAGAGCTGACTAATAAAAAGTACTTTCTGTGAAAACAAAAAAGAAAAGAAAGAAGAGAAGGAGATCTGCCTCATTAGATTCATAGGTTAGGTCTAAGGCAATTTCCTTCAAGTAATAAACCACAAAGTTGCTTCAAAAGCTGTATGACTTTACTATTTTGGTAAGGACAATGAACGTGGCCTGCGTCCTCTCTTAGTTTTTATATATGCAAGTGTTGGATAGCATCTCTAGAGCTATTTTCCTGCTAGACTGAAACTTTATGTTTACAGATTACTAACTCCCTGCTTCCATCTCCACCAGGGTTTGGTCTTTAATTCTATGAAGCTGACTATCTCAGATACTTTAGAAATGTGGAGTCATGCAGCATTTCTCTCTCTGTGAATGGTGTGTTTCACTTATCACATGGTCCTCAAGGTATGACAATGCTGTTACATATAGAAGAATTTATTTTAAGTTTGAAAACCATTCCAATGTACATGTACGAAACACTTAATTCATTTGTCAAGGAACATTTTGGCTATTTCCACGTTTGCTGTTGTGAATTGTGTTGCAATAATCATAGGAATACTAATATCACTTTGAGATCCTGATTTCAATTATTTTGGATAAAATTTTCAAAAGTAGAATTGCTAGATCATATGGTAGTCTATGCTTTTGAGGATTCTCCATATCACCACATAATTTTATATTGAAATAAACAATATAAAAGAATTTATTTTTCTCTACATCCTTTCAACACTCATTGTCTTTTATGTTTTTGATAATAGTGACTATTACAGATGTGAAGTAATATATTAAGTTTTCATGTAGATTTCCATGATTCATCATGTTCAGCAATTTTTCATATATATATATATATTGACCATTTGTATGTCTTCTTTAAATAAATATCTGTGAAAGTTCTTAGCTCATTTTTAAATTTAGATTCTCCAGAGTCTTTGCTGTTCATTCTTGTTTTGTTTTGTTTTGATTCGTTACTGAGAGTGGAAATTTATCATATTTTGTAGATGAGTATCTTCTGAGATATTAGAAATGTGCCAGGGGATTCCAATACAATCCCATCAAGGTGGCATGTACCAATGCCATCTCACTAGTCCAAGTGATCAATTTCAGTTCACAATTGATCACACTGATAGGTCTAAGAATCAAAGGGATCACACAAACAAGACTAGTGTCTGCTAATACTAACTGATAGAATTAAAAAGGGAGAGAACGATTCAACATGGGAAGCGGGATACACAACAGACTCATAGAATGGCAGATGTCCTAAACAGCACTCTGGCCTCAGAATCAGCCCTTAAGGCACTCGAATCTGGCTGAAGAGCTCATGAGAGTATTTTAGGCATGGAAAGCCAAGACACTCTGGCAAAAAAAACAAACAACAACAACAAAAAAAAACAAAACAAACAAACAAACAAAAAAAACAAACAAAACCTAAATGAAAGATCTCTGTGAATGAGATCCCAGTAGAAAGAATGGGCCCATCAAAGAATGAGGTACCTTTCTCTGAAGGGAGGAGAGAACTTCCACTTTGACTATGACCTTGTATGACCTTGTCTAAATAAGGTTGAAGTCAGCAAACTCAAGAGGCTTCCATAGCCTTGGCAACTCATGACAAGAGCCTAGGGAGATTTCTGAAGCCATAAACAAGATTGTCAAATTGTTAAGTCAACAACAGGAGTCACTGTGTTCTTACTCCTTATGTGGGATCTCTGTCCTTAATGTGTTGTCCAGTGTGAATTAATGCTATAACTAGTACTCAAACAGTGTTTTACACTTTATGTTCTGTGTGGGTGCAAACTGAAATCTTTACTTAATATATACTAATTGATCCAATTGATAATTGGATCTTGATGTGAATTGAATGGGAGAGGGAGCGGGAGATGGGAGGGTGCAGGTGGGAGGGAAGTTATGGAGAGGAAAAGCCATTGTAATCCATAAACTGTACTTTGGAAAATTATATTTACTAAATAAAAGTTTAAAAAAATATTTTATTTCATTCTGTAGATTACCTCTTCACTCTGCTGATTCTTTACCTTGCTGGGCACACATGTTCTAGTTAGATGTAATGTCACTTCTCTATTTTTGTTTTTGTTTTCGTGTCTATTTTTTAGTGTCATATCCATGAAATCATTGGGAAGACCAGGATCATAAATTTTTTTTTTTTGTTTTATTCTAGGAGTTTTAGCCTTGACGTCTTGTATTTAAAGCTCCATTTTATTTTATGTTGATTTTTATGTATGGTGTAAGATTAGAGTCCAATTTTGTTATTTTGTCTGTGCATATCCCATTTTTCCATCAACATTTGTTAGAGAATCCTCTTTTTTCCCTGATATATTCTAGTATGCAAGTCTTTCATCTCTTTAGTTAAGGGTAATGCTGGCATCATAAAATGGGTTGTGGAGATTTTGTTCTCTAATTAAAAATTGAGAAGGCTTCATGTTAGGTATTCACTAAATGTTTAGTGTATTTCCTCAATAAATGTATGTGATCCTGAGATTTTCTTTGTCAGGCAGTTTTCTCTCACTAACTCAAAATATTGGTTATGATTTGTTCAATTTCTGTTTCTTCATGATATAGTCTTTGTAGGTTGTACTTTCTTGTGGAGTGTCGAGTTTGTTGGCAAAATTCTTCATGATTCTTTATTAGGATATTCATTGATATTGGTGCATTCTCCAAATGCCCTTAATGAGAAGAGCTTGATGGGGGCAAATCTAGGAGCTGGGAACTCAGTCTAAATTGCCCACGTGAATTTCTAGTGATCCGTTTTTAGTTCAGTAATCCGTTCTTCTGTTTGATCTCATCTGTGGATCCACTATTGTGAATTTTTCAGTTTAACTATTGTGTTTTTCAGGTTCATGATTTCTATTTAATGTCTTTGAATATTATATATATATATATATATCTGTTTAAATTCTCACTTGTTTTTGCATTTGTTCATATTTTCAGTAAGTATCATTATGAGAACTTATTAAATGGTGGTCAGCTAACTCATATGCTATAGTTTAAATGTGTCCATGAAAGATCATGTGTTGGAATCTTAATCTCCCAATTTATCTGTGGGGGATGTTTGGGAGATAATTAGTATTAGATGAGAACAAAATGGTGGAACCCCCTTGATAGCATTAGTGGTTTCTAAGAAAAGGAGAGAGATGTGAACAAGCAGGTTTTCCCTGTCTTACCAGGTGATACGCTCTACCAGGTTATGATTCAGTGTTGATGCCCTCAACAGATGTGGAACAGATGACAGCATCATGCTTTTAATCTTTCCAGTCTGTTTAATCATGAGCCACAAATATCTATTCTTTATAAATTACTCTGTCTTATATATTTTGTTATAGTAACAGAACATGGACAAAAATGTCATGTAATTATATTTTATCAGGATCTATTTCTGAAAATTTATCTTGTTCTTGCTTTGGAAAATCATTTTCTAATTCTTCATCTTTGTTAATCCCCTGTGTTTATTGCTACTCCTTAGACAAAGCAGGGGCCTGTCCTTATACAGAAGAAGACCACAATTTGCAGCATGACCAGAGATTCCAAGATCCTCTAGCAACTCTCTCACAAAAGAGCAGCTTATAGAGTATTTTTCTTTTAATTCTCTGCTAAGCTGGGGGCAGAAGAAACTAAAGCCCTAAAAGTGGTGTGGTGCCAGATGTTAGGATCAGTTCTTTCCCTTCCTAAAGGAAGGTTGAGATCAAAGATTCTCCGTCTACTCACTCTGTGCTAAACAAGATGGTAAGATCAATGGTGTCTACCAGGCCAGGCCACTGTATCCACTTTTACAGGTGAATGAACTGCACTAGACCCATGAGCACTCCAAAACTGACAACAAAGAAGCCAGGACTCTGGGAAACTTCTTCAAAAATGTTGGGAAACACAAAACAAAACACAAGACAACTTCATCCTCTGGTTCAAATTGAGACCTGGGAGTTATCTTCTGGGTCATATGGCACTGTGCTGAGATTAGAGTCACTGTCTCAAGTATTCTTACTGGCATTAGTGAATCTGGTTTTATATTGTTCCAGAGTGCAGGAACCTTTCAATTAGCTTCTGTATTTGTCTATGAATTGATTTTGAATCAACTTATTTGTTGGAGATAAGACGATCCAAGACTTTCTATTCCACTATTTTGCTTATATAGCTCTGCTCTGTGATTCTTTTCAGCAGTGAATTTGATAACCTCTGTCCTACAGTGCAGTCAGTGTCAATCAAAATTCTCCTGTGACTTACCCTACAGTTTTGCTCTTGGTTCATTCTGTTTAAACTATTCAGAATAAAACAAAAACTATATATAGAATAATAAACAATGCTTTGATTGGCACCATTTTTAATGAGGAGACTGACTCAAGATGTAAATTAATAAATCAACTCTTCTAAGACATGAAATGCAGTATGAATGCATGCGTATGTCCTGATTTTTCCAAGATACTTTAAAATTTCAAAATTAAGAAGAACCTATTGGCTGATCACTGTTAAGTACACCAGGATTCTATTTTGGTAATGATTGCAATGCAATCATAACATATTGCTATGAGGTTGATAATAACATAATAACCAACAAGTAGAACCTGGATGAATTTATTAGCTTTGTGAAATTATGTGCTTCATGTTACAGTGGTGTAACACACAGTGATGGTCATAAAGCAGAAATTTTTTATTTCAGAACTTACATCCACAAAACTCCTTTTCATGTGGCATAACATCACAATCAGTCTCTGACTAAGTCATTAGCAGAGTATTCAGAATGTTTTTGTGGGTGTGTCAGTGTATGTGTGCTTGGTTGAGTGGGGGAGGGGTCCTGTAAATTATAATTCTTCTGATTCTAAAAGATTTGTTTTCAGAATTTTTTTTCTATTCTCTTCTTTATGCTGCATTTTTTTATTTCAACATCTGCTGTTTTCCTTATGGGATTTGGCACAGCTGCTATGCCCTAGTTCCTTGCTCATATCCTGCATCAACAGAATAAATGAGCAGCAAAAATTGCATAGATATTAACAGGGAGTAGGGAGGTGAAGTCATTGTAAGACAAAAAGAGAGCTTTGGTCACAGCTCTTCTTATTAGTAAAGAAATAACAAAGTGGTGAAACATCTACTCAAGAGGGAGGGTCAGAAGCTGGAACACTTCCTAAATCTGGATAAAATGAAAGACACTTCAAAATGTTTATTTGACTGCACACTTCTGCTTCTTCAGAGGAGCCAATTCCAATACACTTGTTCTTTTTTTAAACATCTCTGAAACAGAAGTACTTTTGTGAAATGATTGTAAAATCTAAAAGACCATCACTAAATCATTAGAGAATTTGAATTACAGAAATTCTAGACCTTGGGACATCAGGCATAGGGCTATGGTGTGGGCATGACCCATATAGAAGACAGATATTAAAATTCTATTTACAGAAATAAAAACT